GGAGCGAGTGGGTGAGAGAGGTAAATAGATATTTTAACTTAAAACATATATATGTATATGTATATGCATATACATACTCAAAGACACACACACACACACACACACACACACACACTTTACATGCTTTGTGTTTTATAAAAGGCCAAGGACTTTTCCATGGCTCTGCCTACTGCCAATCCATGTTGTATTTTTTGCATGAACCACATCCGTTATGCATCACCTACAAGTTTTAGTTTTTCATTTCTTTGAAGAAGAAAGAAATTTCAGGGCAATGTGTTGAGCAACACAAGTACAGGATTCTTCTAGGGTTTTTCGTTTGTTTGTTTATTAAGATATTTATTTGTTTATTTGTTTATTTATTTATTTATTTATTTATTTCAGAGAGTGAGCTGGGGGAGGAGCAGAGGGAGAGGGAGAGAATCCCAAGCAGACTCCATGCTGAACGTGGAGCCTGATGTGAGACTCGATCCAGGACCCTGAGGTCATGACCTGAGCCAAAATCAGGAGTTACACACTTAACCAACTGAGCCACTGAGGTGCCCCAGGCTCCTTCTAGGATTTATTATATTATTCCTTTTGTTATTTCTTCTATAGCTGTCTCTCTTACATCTGGAATTAGAGAAAGACTTTGTTGTGGTAAAATACACATAAATTTAACCTTTTAACCATTTTTTAGGTATGCAATTCAGTGGCATTAAGTACATTTACAATGTCATATAACCACTACCACTCACTATTTTCAGAAATTTCCCATCATCCCAAACAGAAACTCTGCACCCATTAACCAGTAACTCCCCATTTTCCCTACCCAACAAGCCTGGTGACTTCTATTCTACTTTTATCTCTATGAATTCGCCTATCCTAGGTGCCTCATGGAAGTGAAATCATCTTTATTCATCCTTTGGTGTCTGGCTTAGTTTACTTAGCATAATGTTTTCAAGATTCATCTGTGTTGTAATATGTCAGAATTTTGTTCATTTTCATGGCTAAATAACGTGTCTATGGTATGTTTTATTTATATTGTTTGTTTATCTGTTGATGAATACTTGGCTTGTTTTCACTTTTCAATGATTGTGAGTAATGTTGCTTGAACATTGGGATGCAAGTATCTGTTTGAGTGCCTGCTTTCAGTTCTTTTGGTTATATACCTAGGAGTGGAATCACTGAGTCAAATGGTAATTCTATGTCTACCTTTATGAGGAACCACCAAACTGGTGTTTTGTTTTGTTTTGTTTTTAAGTGTTTTTAAAGCAACTTTTCTGTACTGAAGACTTTCCTAAGCATTCACCTTGGTTTTCACAGAAGCAACAGCTCTCTTAACTTTGGGGCCTGCATTTCATCCTTTCTAGACCATTTGATTCCCCTGGATAATTAAAATATCAAGCCCAACTGTCATACAGTGGTTTAGAAACATGTACAGTTGATATTTGCTAAGCATATGACTCAACAGGTAAGACCAGAAGTTCTCAGAACATACTAGAGAGGAGTTTTCCAGCAATGAACCCCAGCATACACCAATATGCATTACAGAACAAATGGAGAATACTGGTGAATCTGGCTAGTTGAGTGGAAGCCAGTTCAGAGAGCTTCTAGTATTCATCTGAACTATCTTTGTCACGATACGATGTATAGAGGAATTTAGAAGCGACTCTGCTCTAGAAAAAAACAACAGCTGCATATCCAGTCCTTTTCACGTTCAATACACTCGTCGGGAGACTGGGAAAGATGACGGCCAAGGCTAAAATGGAGTGAGAGGTTGACTGATCTAGTCATTTTTGTATAAACTCTTGAATTTGAGGAAGTCCTAATCGATAATAGCAGTAGGTTGATTTTCTTCCCTTCCTGTTTAATTTTGTGTGCTTGTTAAATGAAAGATAACCAGGGAATAGAGAGGTTGTGTCTATTCTTAGAAAGAAGATACCTTTCAGGTTAAGATTTCAGACTTTCAGATGTGATTAGAAGGTTTTCTAGCCAGTTCTGAAACAACACCACAAAGCTGGAGGAGGAATACTTTTATAGACCATCATTCATCCCAGTTAGTGACCCAAGTGATTAAAGGTTTGGGAAATTGCCCCTCTAAATATGGGCTAAGGGAACAGGGTTTATTTAGCTTAGAGAGAGAGAGAGCGGGCATGCTGAGGGGGACTTAATAATAGTCTTCACGAATATGAGGGATAGTCTATGAGTGATGGAAAGCAGCTGTTTCCTGTTTCCATGGAGGACTTGGTAAGAAAGAATGGAGTTCAGTTGCAACAAGTGAGTTTAAGAACTCCTTGGCCATAAAGTTTGAGACAGCAAATCCACAATACCAAAGTATCAAAAATACAACACCTCTCTGTTTCAGAATTGTGTAGCTAGGTAGCTGTCATTCTTGGGTGGCTTAAATGGGCTTGTTCTTGAACCAGTGAAAAGACACAGAGGACCTATCAGTCAGGTGAGAATATGAAGCTGTCCACCATCAGAACCTACTGGTGTTTTGTGGCTGATGAAACACTTATTAGAGGATGAGATTTAAAAAAGAAAAAAGTTTCAGAATCTTTTGATCTCTTTTGGTCTTCTTTGAAAGAAAGATCCTTTAGATTTACTCCTTCTCTCTGAGGTGAAGAATTTCCGTAGATTTGCTGGTTTGTGTTTTTTTCTGTCCATTTGATCAATACAGTCATTAAAAAAAAATTCTGTGTCTTCAGTGATACTTATATCAGAGATCGATATCATAGATATTTGATATATATATATATATATATATATATATATATATAATATGTAATTACTACAACAATGAAAGCAATGTTTTGTTCTAAACATTGTGTCTAAATGTTAGGGATATGAAGATGAATAAGACATACACTGTGCTGATTAGGAACAAAGCAAATATAAAAACATTACGAAATAATGTATCAGTATAGGTGGTCCACTAGGGGAAGAAATTTAAAATTAGAAAAATGCGTTCTGAATTTGCTACTAATTTTAAGATGGAAATGCCTGAACACATCTCAACCATTGTTTTATCATTTTAATCCTAGGTTAGTTTAATTAGACCATTTGTTATGAATTGGAATCATGGTGTCTTATTTACCCGCCTGGGAGTGTTTTCAAGGCAAGGTTTGGTTTCCAGAGGATTGGGCTGCTGGGAGGCTGTATCTTTAAAGGCAGAGGTTTACATCAGGATTAACTGTGTATACATTCCACATGTTTTATTTCTGTTTCGTACCAACATTTATTTTAATCTTATTTAAAAATCTTTACTTCGATCACTGAATGTTTCTTGGTCATCTGGAAGGGGGTAAGGATGAATGGCGATTCAAATCTGACCTCATAACTCTTTGGTCTTCAAAATCCAGCACCAGAGTGAGGAAGTTAGGAGATTGCTTTGAATCCTCTCTCCCTACATGCTCACCATGAAGCACTGAATGAGTTCTTGAACTTCCCCAAATCTCAGTTTCCTTAATCCACTTTACAGGAACATCTTGAGGATTCAATGAAAGGAAATAATGTGTGCCAAGCCCAAAGCCCAGTGCACCCAGCCCTCAAACCATGTTTACTTGTTTCCTTTAATTTACCAAGAACATCTCTTGCCTGTGGTTGAATCACGAATGCCTCTAGATTGTCTTCACTTAGTGGGGTGTGTCGACCCTCAGGGGCAAGACCAGTAAAGTAGATTTTGTCTAAAATTTTTGAGGGCCCCCCAAAGTTCCATTATGAGAATCTCTTTCCTTTCCTAAACTTACTTCGTCCCGAAAAAAAAAAAAAAAAAGTCTACCCTAATGCCAAATATTTTAGGAAGCATTTGTTGGTAAATTACTTACCCGAACAAGTCATGTACACATACGGAAGAAAAGTGCCTTTTAAAATCAGCAGGAAGATTATGCATTTTTGTTTTTGCAAGGTTGAAAGAGTAAGTAAGGCTTCTGGATATTCAAACAGTCCTTTAATAGACACTGATTAAATTGAATGCTGTGCCTGGAAATGGCATCAAATTGAAGATGTGATCACTGCCCTGGGGAAGCATATGAACTTGTTGGAGAGACCAACCCACATGTATGAACCAAGCCCAGGATAGTTAGACTCAACATCAGGGAGGGCAGGCCGTATAAGCCCCTGCGTACTAAGGGAAGGCAAGATACAGGTTTGGGTAGGGATTTAATAGAGCTCTAAGAGAATGAGATCTTGGTTTGACTGGTTCATAAGACATCATTTAAATTTTTTTTAAATTTAAAAAGACAGAATTTTTAAAAAACCACCTGAAGTGTTCACTTCCTATAGAAATCCAAGAACCTCCTTCAGTGGCTCTTTACGTCTTTGAACTAAATGAATCCTTCTGAAGTCTCAGTGTTCAGGCTGGTTGGCTTTCAGAGTCTCACACTGGGCCAGACTGCTCCTGCCCCAATTCATTCTTTGTCTGCAGGATATGGAATATCTTTATCAATTATAACAAGTCACACCTGGAGAGTAAAAATCCCAGCCAGCGACTTAACCTCAAAAGCTGAGGCATGCCACATATGTTAATGTGGGTGGATTTAAGAACCAAGGTTGGGAACTTTTTCTCTTTATTAGAAGGAGATTTATGTAATTCAGGGCCGTTAGAGGGTGAGCACGGGTCCTCTGGACTGGCCCACTCTTCCTGTCCCCCCCCACCTCTCAGCTCCCCAAATTAAAAAGCAGAACAACAAAACTGTTAACTTAATAGCATAGAATTTATGGCTGGAATCTCACAAAGCTTATGTCAGCAAAGTAAAATAATTACTGTCACTTTCTCTTAGACACTTGGCTTTATGGTTCCTGTCACCTTTATCATAATACACAGCTGACTTAGTAGCTCTATTTTTCATGGCACACGGCCTGGTGTCATGCTTTTATGCACACATGCCGTTCGATGACAATACATGGGTGTACCAGAGCGGAGCTGAGTTTAGATAATGAATTGGAATACTGTTCATGGCTTTGGGTTAGTCATGCTGACCGGATGCCAACTGAGCTTGTTCCCTCTCTCTCTCCTCCAGATTCTCAAATCCAAAGATTTAACATCTCCAACCCAGCGCTACATTGACAGCAAAGTCGTCAAGACCAGAGCAGAAGGCGAATGGCTTTCCTTTGACGTGACGGATGCCGTCCACGAATGGCTCCACCATAAAGGTTACAGCCGCCCTCTGTCCTCGTCCCTAGATGCTCAGTGACCCCACATTATTGTAAGTTGATTGCAGATTTAAGGGTATTATCACACATCCAAATGACCTCCTTGACTTAATGTTTTCCAGACAGAAACCTGGGATTTAAAATAAGTTTACACTGTCCCTGCTGCACCTTTGTGCCATCTAATAATTACATCATTCCCAATAAAAGTGAAGAGCTAGAAGCAAGATTTGCAGGTAACTGAAACTTGGTCATATGAGGTGGGGGAAGGGAGGGTCTGTGTTGATAATCTCATGGGGGATCAAGCCCGTTTGCATGTGAAAATGGAATTGTTTGGTGAGGCCTGAGGAGTTATAATTGTTTGGTAAAGATAAGGCTGGAGAAAGATAAATGAAGGCAGATAGGATTGGGACCAAGCAATTGGCTCCCAGTTTATTCTGCTCCATGCTCCATGACTTGGCAATACTAACTGACTGATTCATCAGCTTTCCAAACTATTAGTCAGGTAAGCCCTGTACTCTTCATTTAAGTGAGCCAGCTTTCCAGCTATGCTAGTATTATAGCAGAAGATAGCATACATTCAAGGACATCCATCGATAATGCCCCAAGTGCAATGTCAGGAGGCCTACAACCATACTTCACTTGAGAAGCCCCTCATACCATAGCCTCTTGACCTCACCTTACATGAATCAGAACACTCCACCGTTTCTAGCTGGCACCCAGTATTTCCAGTGGCTGCCTGATCAGACTTCTGGAATAATTTATAAAGACATAATGAAGTTTTAGTTTCTCCCTCTTCCTCCTCACCTCTTAGTGATTAGCCAAAGGTCAGGGAGAAGGAAGAGATGCCAACAGTTGGACTTGCTTCCCTTGTTAGCCAGCCAGTTTGGATGATGAGAGGCGGGAGGCAAGTGTTCCGTGTGCTCGGGCCACAGTGACTCCACAGCGGCATGCCAGGGAGCTGATTCCCCTGCCCCAGCTACCACGACCCGGGACCCCCGTCCACTTGCAGAAGGCTCCAGTGGCCCTCGCTCATGGAAAACTACTCCCGGAGGTCGAGAGATTTATTTCAGTCTCTAACGTAGCTATGATTCTCTGGAGTGTGGAGATTAAATGCTTAAACTGGCAGTCTCTTGAGCATGCTTTGGGGAGCTCGAGTTTCTGAATCTCAAATGGAATCAGGAAAGTGTTGAAGACGCCATAAAATAAATGAAAAAGCCCTTTCTTCACAGCTTCCCCAAATAGCATTAGGTAAGGGTGACTTCTGTTTCACTTGAACTTAATTCACTGCAATTTCTTGTGAGTCTCGGGTTGTGTTCATGAGGAAAGTCTTTTGAGTTTGTAGTCTGAGGAAGAGAGTGAACTGGTGGGGGACAAGCCGTGTTCTTTTGCCGTGCTCTTCAGTCGCTGAGGGGCTGGACATGGCCTGAACTGAAGGTTCAGTTCAAATAAACTAGCTAGGTCGCCCTTGGACTATGGTCAAAGTCTTCTTCTGTAGTGACCTTCATAACCAACAAGCCCTGCCTTGGACACTGAACTGTCTCCTGCCATGAGCCTCAGTGAGAAGTGTCCATTGTTGCCTGTGATTGTCTCCTCGTGCCGTATCGATTTCCGTGGGGAATGATGGTAGCCAGCCGGTGATGCCATTGTGAGGTCATCATGGCTGCTTGTGACAAGATGCAAAGGAAAGAAAGAATGGCTGATTGTATTTGATGAAGGTAAAGCTAAATGTTTGTTACCCAAATGCATTTTTTCAAGGTATTGATGGCGCCTCCACATATACCAGTGGTGATCAGAAAACTATAAAGTCCACTAGGAAAAAAAACAGTGGGAAGACCCCACACCTCCTGCTAATGTTGTTGCCCTCCTACAGACTTGAGTCACAACAGTCCAACCGGCGGAAGAAGCGTGCTTTGGATGCAGCATATTGTTTCAGGTAAAGGAAATAAAAATAAACCAAAGTAATGACATCTGTTGACTCTCACACTGCCTTTGTCTTTTCTTACAAGTAGACCTAAACTCCACTCATGGCTTAAGGCCAGGTATAGGACAGGATAGCCACCCTACCTCCTAACAGCCTTCTTCCCAGAGGCTCCAAACTGTTTTCTGTGTAGTCTTCCACAGCCCCTTGTGAGGAACCAAGTGTGAAGTCAAAAAATTAGTCCCCTGAAGTTTTTCCCAGATCCCCCTGAAGCACTTTGGGGCTGAAGAAGAAAATGAGCTCCCTGCTCCCCAGAGCAAATATAAGGTTACTTGAGGGGTATGATGGCTGATCCTTAATTGGAAAGACTCACTGTCTGTATGAAGCCCTCCCTACCCCCACTGCCCACGGTAGAGCGCCCATGGCCATACCCTTTTTCACAGAGATGAGAGAAATAGAAGAAGAATGCTACTGCGTCATTAGCTACTGAATCTGAGAGAAGTGAAGGCAACACAGATTTATTTCCCACTCCTGTAAGAGTTCATGGAGGGGAGGTTGTGAGTGTTCTCCTGTGGTTTCTTATCAAGCCTCCTGAGAGGAAGGTTCTTTATTTTGAGAAATATGGGGCAGTAAGGGGTCCTCACTGATAGATGCTCAGAGAGTTCATGAGTAAAATGGCTTGTATTGGTCGCCAGAGTCAGTGGTTACACTCAGCGAGGCTCCATGTGTCTTGATTTCTGGCTCATTCCCTGGTCTAGGGACATGAGATGAAATTATGGATTCATTCTCAAAGGAAAATGCCTTAGGTGGTTCTTTGTACTTGGATCATTTTATATTTGAAAGGACCTTTGAGGCTGATCTGGCAAAACTGCCCAGTGTTGGTTGGAAAGGGGGGATTGGTCTCTTCAGCCACCTCTCTGTTTCTATTTAGTCATTCAAGGGAAAGGTTTGACTTTCAAGGTCACAGCCAACCAAGGGACTTGAGGTTTAGAATTCGTAAGGGGAAGTAGTCCATCAGGTCACCATGACATTCCATCGTGAAAGTCATTTGAGATTCCCATAAAACCATTCAGACCTAGCCCATGGTACTTGCTCATTGGATGCTGTTTGCATGAGTGAAGGAGTCATTTTTCTGGCTTGGAATGGGGTTGGGGGGAAATCAGCTGTAAAATCTCCACTGCTCTTTCTTCTAACAGAAATGTACAGGATAATTGCTGCCTACGTCCACTTTACATTGATTTCAAAAGGGATCTTGGATGGAAATGGATACATGAACCTAAAGGGTACAATGCCAACTTCTGTGCTGGAGCGTGCCCATATTTATGGAGTTCAGACACTCAGCACAGTAGGGTAAGTATTTGGCTCCATTTCTTCTATTGTTGGGTCACTAATGTGTACCTACAGGTAATATGTCCAGTGAATTCTAAATAGCCTGGTTCCCATTCATCGCACATGAATGGGTACTGGAACGATCTTCTTGAATGGCCAGGAAGAAGGTAGGGGGTAGGTGAAGTCAGAAGTGACACTGATCAGTTTCAAGTGTAAGTTTTGCCTTCCCAATTCAATGATAAGCATCCAGGAGACAGTTTTGTTCATTTTTTTTCTTTATTTTATATTACAAATGACTGGTAGCTATAAAAAAATCTTTTGGAATCAATTTATCACGTGGGGTCATGCATAGCTTGGATGTGAAGGGACCCAAGTCCCCATCTAAAGAAAGGAGCTGTCATCATCTGTATCAAGGACTGTCGCATTGGAAAGAACTTTGAGGACCTCAGTTGATGCTTTGGCATAGTGACTCACTAGCGCACGACAATTAAAAAGTCACTTGACTTCTCTAAACCTCAATCCCTCAATTTCTCATCAGTAAAAAGGAATGTTTATGTTAAAAATGATCTTTTAAAATAACAAAGCCAAACTCGAGAGTAGATATAAAGAGCAAATTGATGAAATTAGAGAAAGCTATGGGAAAATTAGGATCTCCAAGTCTTTTTGAATATACCCAAAGTACACAAGAATCTAAATATTCTGTCAGATCACTTCATTGAGGTTAGAAGGCTAATTCAGAGGGCCAGTCCTTGATGGGAGGCCATGGATGAGTAGCCCAGATCAGCAAAGACTTTTTCTATGGAATAATGAAGCTTGTCCTAATGCTTTTTCCTCGTACCTCATAATGTAGGATTTCAGAGAAGGGAAGGACTTCATAAATTATCTCATCCGGACATTTCACTTTACTTACAGAAATTGGGGTCTAGATCGTGTAGATGACTTGCCCAGGATCAAACAGTTGGTGACAAACCAAAACTTGGAACGCAGACATCCTTGTTTTATAACCAGGCCTCGGTTTGCTCTGCCTTACTGAGTCTAATTCCTGAAATGTGGCTACACATTGGGGTTATGCCTCTGTAAATCTCCTTATTAAAGAAGCATTAGAAAAATTGCCTTCACTGCAGGGTAGGAGAACGGACTTGCTGCCAAGAGGCTCACATAAGGCACTCGACTCAATTCAAGAGTTTGGGGGTTATCGATGATTTGAGACAATCTGTGTTATAAAATTCCTCTTTAATTCATATGAAAAATCACATGCTAGTAGAACATGAAGTCTATTTATTTATAAATGCCTACATGTGCTGGGCTTTCAATTGACAAATAGGACTCTCCTTCCTTCAGCTGTTTTCCCAACCCCCCTGTAGGTTTTGGCACTCCAGGCTGACCATGTGCTTGGCCATGTGAGGAAAACTTGCTCATGCCTGTCCCTTTGTCTGAGCTCTCTGGCCAGGCTGTTTCAACTGGGCTGTGGCAACAGTAGCTATAATGTGGGCAAGGCCCCATTGCCAAGTAGAAATATAATTCCCCTCCCTGATACACAGAGGGAGTGTGTGAAGGCTGAGACCATGCTTGTTTTTCAAGGAGAGAGGAAGAATAACTGTCATGGTCACAAATATGTGGTTTGGACAGTTACCCAAGAAGCCAGAGGTAGCTTAATAAAGTACTCAGTGTTGCTGCACTGAACAGATCTTCTGTCTTAGGCTGAAAAAATCGCAGTGAATCTCGAGGAAAAGGTCACTTGCTGTTTGACTAACACATTAATGGCATCCTTGGAAATGTCTCTTTATCATCACTGGGGAACCTACGTACTTCCATTGGTAAAAGGCCCATCCCCCGTGGATATGAAATGGAGTTAAGGGTATGGGACTAACTCTGGAACTTTCTTTTCGTTCCACTGTGGGACTGGCTAAAGCCCTCCCACTTAGGCATGCCCATTTACCACATGGAATCTAATGGAGGGCTGATTATTATTACTATTGTTGTTTTAAGCAAAATGTAAGAAAGTGAATAATTAAAAAATAGAGCTTGCTTTTCATGTCATTCTTTTTTTCTTCTTTTTTTAAGATTTTTATTTATTTATTTTTGAGAGGGAGAGAACATGTGCGAGAGAGTGTGAGCAAGGGGGTGAGGCAGAGGGAAAAGCAGACTCCCCGGGAGCTGATGCGGAGCTTGATCCCAGGACCCTGAGATCGTGACCTGAGCCGAAGGCAGACACTTAACACACTGAGCCACCCAGGCGCCCTAGTGTCATTCTTAAGTAACTCTTAACTGCTTAATTCTTGATCGTGTTTATGAAGCAATATTAAATGAAAAAACATATCTTTTTTTCTTTAAAACAAAAATGTAGGTGACATTAAATTGGCCTGCCAAGACACAGCACAGAGAGGTATCACAGGCAGACAGGTGTTTTTTTCTATATGTAAGGGTAGATTAAAGCGCTGGTGGAAGTTTTCATCCAGCCTGTGATTCTTCTACTTCTCCCCGCATTTGCTTCCTCACGGAGCCCAGCAGTCTCATTCTGCTTACTCGGGCTATGAGGTCAAAACAAAGTCCATAGAGTCTCTGAGTCAAATGTTGTGCTAACCTAGGTGGGAATTAGAAATAGACACTTGGTTACAAGGAAGTGTAGACACCAAAGCAAATACTAAGAGCACCAAATTTTTTGACGGCCTGGCAAGTGTGTGTACAGCGATGCAGTGATCAAAGTCAAGAATTATTGGGGAAACTGTAAAATTTGTTGAATGAGCGATTTTGTGCAATCTCAGCTTTTACAAAATCATTTGTTTACGACGCATGAGGAAAGGATTCTGTAGGAAAATGATGAATTCAGTGATTACTAGGAACACATACCAGGTTGACCGTAACTGGGGGCTTAAGAGAAGGAAATAGTAAACCAGTACATTTAAATTGTCTCCTGAGTGCCGTGACTGATAAGGTCACACTATAGCACTATGGAATTGTTCTTTTTAAAGTAACTCCCCCCCTTTTTTTTTTCTTGGTCTTTTCCTATGTTCTCTTTCCTCTCCTATGTTCTTTCAGGTTCTCAGCCTATATAATACCATAAATCCAGAAGCATCTGCTTCTCCTTGCTGTGTGTCCCAGGATTTAGAACCGCTCACCATTCTCTACTACATCGGCAAGACACCCAAGATTGAACAACTCTCTAATATGATCGTAAAGTCTTGCAAATGCAGCTAAGATTCTTGGAAAAGTGGCAAGATGATAATCCCATGGTGATGAGGATAAGCAGGAGGGTAACGACAAGAACAAAGACAATGTTTATAACAAGAAAATCCAAGAGAGCCTTGCTTCGACAGTGTTAAAAAAAATTTGAAAAAAACAAAAAAAACCAAAAACGGTACTAGTTCAAACACTTTGGAAGTCTGTGTTCTGTTTGTTAAAACTGGCATCTGAAACAAAACAAAATGAAACAAATTGAAGGCTTTATTCTACATTTCATCTACTCTGTGAGAGAGACAAGAAGCGAAACCTTTTTTTTTTTAAGAAAAAAATAAACACTGGAAGAATTTGTTAGTGTTAATTATGTGAAAGGAAAAACAAACAAACAAACAGGAAAATCCCATTAAGTGGAGTTGCTGTACATACCATTCCTATCCCATGCCTCACCTGATATTTCTGTATTGCTATGCGATAGGCACCCTTCCCGTTCTTACCTTTCGAGTTAACAGTGAGTTATTTATTGTGTGTTACTACATAATGAACGTTTCATTGCCCTTGGAAAATAAAACAGGTGTATAAAGTGGAGACCAAATACTTTGCCAGGAACTCATGGATGGCTTAAGGAACTTGAACTCAAATGAGCCAGAAAAAAAAGAGGTCATATTAACGGGATGAAAACGCAGGCAAGTTATTTTGTGACCAACCAAGTCTGCATTAAGATAAAGACCCTGAAAACACATGCTATGTACCAACTGCCTAAGGAAGCTTCTTGTAAGGTTCAAAACCGAAAAGCCTGTTAATAAAGGAAACTTTCAGTCAGAATAAGTCTGTAAGATTTTTTTTTCCTTTTAATTGTAAATGGCTCTTTGTCAGTTAGGTAACCAGTGACATGTTGAAATGTTTTGATACGTACCGGTCTAATTTCAGACCTTCAAGTATTGCTGTATGGCTATGCTATAGGTTTTTCTTCGTTTCCATATATGTAACCGTACCTACATTCTTACAATAGATGGGTAGAGAAGCCAGCATAATTGGAAACACATCTGCAGATCTCTTTTGCAAACTATTAAATCAGAACGTTAACTACTTTACATGTAATGTGTAAATTTTTACCATATTTTTAATGTTCTGTAATAATGTCAACTATGATTTAGATTGGACTTACACTGGGGCTCTTTTTAATAATCACTCAGACCTGTGTGTTTCCTTTAGCCGGCCAGGACTTTGGAGGAAAGGCCCTGCAGTTTGACTTGCACTACAAATATGTGTTTTATAGTATTTCTCCCCATGCGCTTTGTGTATTGTCCAATATTATGACATAAGCTATCTGAGTCCACTTGTCCTTTCGTTTTCCTTTTATTAAAAGGATCGATTCAAGTTCAAAAGTCTTCCTTCATCTCCTAAGCATCATTACTAATCAATTCCAACGTTAACCATCTTTTGTGTTAGGAAAATTTGGGAATATGATAGATATACATAGATCACTGAGCTGAAGTATTTTCATTTCAGTCAGGATCTGACTGAAACTCAGAATCTTTGTGGCTGAGTGGAGACAGCTTTCTGCAACTTGGTTTAATCGGTATGTTCACAGAACTCTATGGTTCTTGAGATAAGACAGTTCATAGGAGACATCTTTTCCTTTAGTCAGGTTTTTAGTGTTCAGGGAGAAATGGAAAGACTGACATTTTTGTTGATTTTTTTTTTTTAAGGGAGAAAAAAAGCCCCATTTAGCGCGAGTCACTTAGTTGATTTCACTAAAGTTAAGGTCTTCATTGATGTTCTTTGATGGTCATTAGAGGTATAAGCCAAATATGCCCACGATCAAAAAATTCTGTTTATCCCTCTGAATGAGAGTTATCTAGATCTGAGGCTAGAATTTACCTTGCTTTAATAAGTGAATGATTTGCCATATTGTTGCAGAGAAGGTAACGTTCCGTCAAGGTTGGTAGGTCAGTTTACCAGTTGTCTCTTCCTTAGCTCGAGAAGAAAAACTAATAAGTAAAACAATGGAGTATATGCAGGTCCCCGAAAGTGTAGCCTGGTGAGGTGTGAATCCAAGTGAAGTTGCATGTGTGATCCAGTGGACTTCTTGTCTGCCGTTTTCTGGCCATTAATGAGATGACGAATTGGATTCACAGATTTGCAAACTGGAAAAGCAAGAGAAGGGACGCCATGGTAGTAGAGGACCCTGGTGTTGGGTGTGACCTGACCTCAGAAATGAGTGTGTTGATTTTTTTCCTTCCATTTTCTATTAATTCTATGTAAATCATTTTTATTTCTGCAGGTGTTCTCCTCTCAGAATGACATTTTGTTTTGTATTATTTTGTCTTTCCTCATGAATGCACTGATAATATTTTAAATGCTCTATTTTAAGATCTCTTGAATCCTTTTTTTTTTTTTTTTTTAGTTTGGAGGTTCTGTAAGGTCTTTATCTCCCATAAGTAAATATTGTGGTGGGCAGGGAGGGAGGCGGGTGGGAATGGGAAGATGTTAGTCTATGGGTGGGGGGTGGGAAGGCGGTTTTTATGTTAAGCAGCAGTACAATTTCATGGTCGGCATGGTTTAAAAAAATGGAATATAAGAATAGCTGTTTTGTATTTTGATGACCGATTACGCTGTATTTTAAACATGATGTATGTCTGTTTTGTGGTGCTCTAGTGGTAAATAAATTATTTCAATTGGATGTTGATGTGTTTTTCCTCTCACGGGATTATCACTGAGACTAGAGAACACATTTACTACCCTGAGAATCATCTCGAGCTGGAAAAGTCCTACATCTTTAAGGTTGGGCTTTTATTTTCAAGGATATTCTCTCCAGAAATGTCATGTTTTACAGCTCATGAGCTAGGATGTGTCAACCAAGGACCAGAGAAAGCCCTGTGCAGTCTTTTTATTCTCTTGTTTATTGCCATTTGGTAATTGTTTGAGATTCGGTTTCCATCCAGCTTGACTGTCTACCAGAAAAAATGCAGAGTTGTTTGAACCATGCCTTGGCTTTCTGGTTCTATGTTCTGCCAACCCCAGGGCCAAAAGAACTGGTCTAGACAGTATCCCCTGTAGCCCCATAACTTGGGTAGCTGCTGAGCCAGCCAGATAGAATGAGAGCCACGTGCTCTCTGGGATTGGTGTTGGGAGCAGCTACTCCTCTCTCCCTCCCTGGTCCACTGCCCCGAAAAACCCCTATTCCCGCAAAGTGCTTTGGCCTTTTCCCTTCAAGGCCAGGCTTCACGAGTGAGTTGCCAACCTCATAAGAAATGGAACTAATAAAAAAGTAGTGGTGGCTCAATCTGGTTGTCTTGCTTTCTCCAATGAAAAAAACGGTTGGTGCCCACCATCGAAACCTCACATGGGAACAGACCCTCAACGCGAGTGTTTAGGTGTAATAAAAAAAAAAACGGTCCCTTTTCTACGATCATCTGTGTTTCATCTTCTACCCTCAACTCACAGTTAAAGGAAGTGTTTCACTTGAACACAGTTATTTCCTGCTTCTCTGTAGAGTGGCCAGTGTGGGGCCTATCATCGAAGCCCGCATCACCTTCCTGTGATGAGTAAGAAAAGGAGGGTAGCAGGGGAATGAAGAGAGTCACCTAACATTAACTTTGGCAAGTTTGTCAGCCCCCCTGAGACCTGTTTCTTTATTTTGTAAATGAGGACTAGACTACCTGATTTACAGGGCTTTGCAGGTTTATTTTTGTGTTCCTGTGGTTCAGTGAATCTATGTCTGACAAGATTTCCCTTGGCGTTTGGACTATAGTGGATAATCAGTAAACTGCAGTCTTAATATATTTCTCAACTTGTTCTGTTTTGGACTCTTGGCAATTCTATTGTAACAAACTGTTTATATTCAGACTGTAACCTGGGCCCGTACTTCCCTGTCTTGAGAGTGAGTGTGTAAATGCTCCAGACTCTATTTCTCATAAATGGACCAAGCCATGAGTTATTTCTGAGAATACTCTGTAATTCTGTTAAAGAGACAAAGTGGCCAACTGAATGACCTACTTCCTAAGATGATGATAGAACTGTGGTTTGCTGAGCACCTACCAGCTCCTGTTCTCTGTTAACCTAGTTAACCTCACATATTACCTTATGATATAGTTTTTTTTTTAATAGCTCCGTTTTGCAGGGAAGTGATTAGACACAGCTTGGTTAAATCATGTGTCCAAGATCCCTCAGTTTGTAAGGGAAGGGTCTAGAATTTCATTGTCCAGTAAGTACACTAGCTGCTAGGCATATGTGGTTTTCAAGCAGTTGAAATATGTCTAATCTGAACTGAGAAATAACAAAGTGTAAAATGCACATCAAATTTCAAAGACAGTACCAAAATAAGAATGTAAAATGTCTCATTAATTTTTGATCTTGATAACAGGTCTGAATAATACTATTTTGGATATATGGGATTAAATAAAGTACATTATTAAAATTAATTTCACCTGTTTCTTTTACTTTTTGAATACTATTATCATAAAGTTAAAATTACCCATGTGGCTCACATTCCATTTCTCTAGCATTTCTTTTTGGTTCTTTCCTAGGATTTCCATCTCTCTGCTTACATTTCCCGTCTATCTGTTCTTGCATGCTGTCTGCTTTATCCTTTAGAGCCCTTAGCATGTTAATCAAAATTGTTTTAAATTCCCAATTTAGTCATTTCAATATCCCTGCCAGGTCTGATTCTGATGCTTGCTGTGTCTCTTCAAATTGTGTTTTTGCCTTTTAGTATGCCTTGTAATTTTTTTCTTGATAGCTAGACATGACATATTGGGTGAAAGAAACTGCTGTAAATAGGCCTTACTGGCTTGGTGTTGAGGTGGGAGGGGAAGCATTCTGTACTACAGTCTCCTGGTGAGGTCTCGGTCTCAGTATGCCTCTGCCCCTGGACTCAACTTCATAAGAGTTTCTCAGTTTTTCTTCTCCACCACCATTAGGTAGCACAGCATGGCTAGAGTGGGCTGGAGTTGGTATTTCCTTCCCTTCTCTAGGTCAGTTAGGCTCTGATACTCTGGCTAGTTAGCCTTCAGTTAATTAGTTTCCCCTGAGAGGTGGCCATGCTAAGAACAGAGTGCTTAGGTATATTTCAAAATGGCTCTTTGCCCCCCTCTCCCTGATGGGTGTACTATGAAATTGTTCTCCAATATCTACTCTGGGAATGTGGTAGAGCTCCAGGAGGTCAATCTTAACAGTATTGTGGGGCCTCCCCTGTAACTGGGTCCTCCTAGAGTTCCTTAACTTTCAGAGCTGTTTGCACTGAGCCTTCCGCCATTCATCGATGATGCTTCCAGTTTTTCTAGCCCTGCAATGCTTCCTCCGCTGGTTCCGGCTTGTGAGACTCTGGTCTTGGAAGCTGTGATGGCCTGTGTTTGCCTCTCTCTTTCTCCAGTTCTGGAAGCTGCAGTTTTCTCCTCTCCTAGGATTCCAAGAAGACTTCCTGATTTTTCAGTCTGCTCAGTTGACAGTACTAGTTGTTAAGATGAAGTGGCCACTTCCCAGTTCTTTATATGCAGAACCAGAAACTGGAAGTTCTATTTCTTATTCGACAGCTCTAATGTAGAATTTGGAAGCTGTTCTCTTTAGAAACAAATGCTAAACTACCCCCATCAGCTACTGACCAGCTTTTGTTTTTATAATTAACATACCATTGAACAATATTAGGCCAAACCCTCTGAAACTGGTTTTGTAGCTCACGATTTCTTGTATGTTGACAATTCCTTAGGGTTCAACCTAACAGCTGGCACTGGTTGACTAATACAGTAAGGAAAATGCAAGTATTATCCAAGCCTCACTGACAAAACTCTTGACAAAATTAATTGCTACATACCAGCAAAGCC